AAATGGAAAATTACAAAATTTAATACGTCATTCAAAGTATTAATAGAGGATTGAACGAAAATCCATTTATACATCTGCAGAACTGAGTTCTAATTTTATTCCATTGTAGTTTAATTCACGAACGCAATATGTCAATCACGTGACAAAACATTTAGCTTATTTAATGCAAGTTATATTTTAGACTAAAACAATTTTTCTGTGGTAGATACAATAGTAAGAACGTATTTATTCAGAGAATTTAAGAACATGTAAAGAATATGATCCATTTTCATATACTCCATAGTAATCCTGAGGATAAAACATGGTTCTCCAAGAAGTAACAAAAGAGTAGTTCTAAAAAGTGTACCGTTTTTACCATTATACATTAAATCATCCAGCATTTTCTTCAACCACTTCTTATTTTCAAAGCAGGAAGTATATTTAATTTTCTTCGTCTAGTTTCCTAAATATTTAGAGTCTACTTAACTCTTTCGCTCCGTTGTGCTTATGACAAAGTGTGCTTGTCGTGCAGGGAACACGTCGCTGACATAAGGATTCCTTACGACGCACGACTGTGTTTCCCGTGTCACAAACTTTGAGATAAAGTTTATTACTGTAATTAATTAGTATTATTCTTTCAAGATATTGCAATTTATTTTAGTATGCTCTGAGGAATGTTTATAACCTTAAAGGTACATATAATATCTTCATATAGCAATAATTTATAATGTAATACTATGGGATATATATCATACCGGTACTCATTTATTTTAAAAAATGTTAAATTAAAGGTTACCTCAATATTTTAGAGTTTTAAATCTTTGCCTTCAAGGTAGAACCAAGTCATCAAAACAGTACTAAATATTTTAGAAACTAAGGTATAATAAGTATGTGGATAAACTAAATTTATTTCATGTAAATTAATTTTTTTATTTTCTTTTATAGACAATTGCGTAGTAATAAACTGTCAAAAATAGATACATTATTTTAAGACAATCCATTCCAATTATCTCACCTTGTGTATTTTCCCTTTCCCCTAAGATTTCTTCATTGTTAAATATAAAAACAATTGGAAACCTCCTTCAATCTTTCTCAGCAACAAATTACCAACTGAACATCATTCCATCATTATTTAATTCTTTACCATTAAAATTACTTTTCCCAAAATTCTTTTTCACTTTAAGTCAAACATTTCACTCTTTACACTTGAGAGGTGACTCACAGTTACCACTAAATTAGATATTTCAAAATTATAAAGCCTTATATATAATATTAAACTTTGTAGAGCGCATCAGTATGTAAAATATTGAAATACCTTTGTTCTTGAATTTATATATCTTTTCTCATTAATTAGTTTCAACGAATATCATCTGTATTCAAGAAATGTTAAATATTTTTAGGAAAAAACTTCTGAGTGCAAAGGGTCAAATTTTCCGATTCTTCAGTGATACTTGTCACGTAAAGACGATTATCAATCCCAAAATGACTGTATTTTCTAAAGAGTCAACTGGTTCAAAAGCCGGAAAGCATATCCAGCTGCCAGCAAAATTCCTTGATTTTTATCATATCGTTGGAAGTGTTATGTCCGGTGGCAAAGGTTTTCTCGGAAAGAGGTGTTAGCGGCCAGCGCAATCATCGGAAGGACACTCGTCGCCGCAGCGTGAGTACAAACGAAATTACGGCGCTATCTGGGCTGCACCCGCGGCGTGGGAAAATAAGAAGCAGGACTGGGCGTTTACTCGACCGCCGACGCGACAACAATTACGCGACAATTATCGGGGAACGCAATTACGACGCGCACGCTGGTCACCACGAATTTCGGCGAGACCGTGTGTCGCGCGGACAGGGTGAGAAAACAGAATGAGATGTCGAGAGGATGGGGACAAAGTGTCGAAATCAAGTAACGAGTCAGGTTCTACGTAGGTTCAAAGAAAAAACTCACTAACATCCAGAGAATCTTTGATCACAGGCTTTACTGTCGGTTTCATCGTGATCGCGATAGAATTCTCATTATTCGATGAAGCAACCTGCTTATTGACTGTTTGCGCACCTTCCCTTACAGATCACGAAATTCCCAGTATCAATGTTTGTGGTACAGCAACGGAATTCAGAGAGAATACTATCAACTTTTCAAGAGGGCGTCATCAAATAGAGAAGTGGTACACACCAAACGGTCTAGCAAAATACACAAATTAGTCGATACCTCTCGAATGGTACGCAGAACTGTGGTGTCAGTTTGATATTCTCACTTTGTATTCAAAATCAGAAACAATGGATATGAATAAGTAAATGTTGAGCATCGATTTTAATTTGATTGATCGATTAGTGCTTATAATAAGAAAGGTCAGAACTGAAATACTGATTGATTTAATCGGTTGACGTAATCAATCTTCACCAGTCATCACTCGTTGTATAAAAATATTAATTACTAATAATCACCTATTTATTACCTTTTCGTCACAAATTAATCGAAATTTTATTTGGCGTGTACTTATGAATTTTATGCGTCAGAGTTATTACTACCATATTTATCATTTTCATTAATTTTAAAAATGTAAAAGAAATATAATAGAAACATTTATCGACGTAATATTTAATTATTAAACTAATCAACGATTGAATAACTGCTGTAATCGCTAATGGGTTTGACAATTAAATATCTGATTTTATTATTAATTATAATCATACGTTGATTGAATACAAAAAATTAATTTGTACTATAATCGATAACACATGAATATTACTACAATCATTATGAATTATTAAATATATTTAATATTCTTCAATATTATCATATAGCATAATAATGTTTGTACTTAATTATTACTGAGTACTGTGAACTATTATTATGTGAGCTACTGTGATTGAGTTATACGATGTTCGTTTGTGTTTTGCAAGTTGAATATAAAATCGAGTTAATTGGTTATTAAATAAATCCAAAAGATTCGACTTCCACAGAATCTTCTCAAAGTATGTATAATCATGTGTATTCTGAGAAATAATTTGTTATATTGCATAAAAAATTAACAGTACTATACCATGAAAACGTTTGTATTAATGAAATAACATTTTTTTGAAAATGAAATTTAAAAATTCTCTGGCTGTGCGTGCCGTTCAATACGAACTAGTTGATGTGTCTGTTCATGACATACCTTTTCTATTTCTTGCACATTCCAATGTACAGTATATATGTAAATGTATATAGCTATATCTGTACTTAACAAATTTTCGAATTCAATTTCCTCGTAAATGAAGTCTTAAACGAAAAAATTTTATTTTTTTATCGATTTACTTTTATATGTAAAATAACTTTCAAACTGACTGTACCACCTCTGATGGAAAATGTTTGACTGCTACCTCTGATAGAAAATGCTCAAACGAAATTGTGAATGTAATCGCTGTATGATTTATTTGTATATGTATCGAAAACTAAAAATATTATTATATTTATATCAAATAAGTGGAAGGGAATATTTAAAATACAATGAAGACAATTGGAATATAACATGTTAGAAATTTATGAAAAAGAATTTTAAAATATTGGATCATTTTTACTATTATAAACAAAGAAAATAAGGAAAGTAATTGCTACCATGTTTTCTCAAAGTTTGGAGATGACTAAATTTCATTGAATCACTGTTCAATTTTCATGTTTTATAGTTTATATACAAATCTACATATTTGTGTTCATGCAATTTTTTTATTTGTATACAACGACTGTTACCATTGTATTTCTTTCTGTATTTCTTGAAAATATTTCTGTTAAAATTCTGCGAATAGATATATATTATAACGTTTAGTTTGCTCGATTGATTGTTTTTTCCGGATGTAGAATCGCTGTAAACCAATTTACTAGAGCTGACAACAGGTCACGATCAATTTGTTGAAATATCAATACCCTTTCAATTCAACATATTCTAGTACAGTAAACATTCAGTTACAAGAATTCCACTATTTCATTCCAGCGACGTGAACTCGTTTTTCTCCAAATTCGTATAACGAAAATGTAAACATATAACATGGCTGCCGCCAAGCTGTCTGCTCGCATTACAAATAAGCTTATACCGTCAACAAACCCTACGCAGTCAAAATTAAACTAACACAGCGAGCTTTCATGTCTCTGTTTTTTTAGCAGCCATGCGTGAATTTTGGAAGAGTTCCCGGGTCTATATGTGCTATTTCAGAGAAATTTCTAGAGTCATATTTTAAAAAATTAAATGAATGTGGTAAATGAACTCTTCATGTTTGTACAAACTTCAATCATTAGATCGTATGTATTATAAAAACATTTTTAGAATATCATATCGTTCATCGTTATTATTTTTAACAACTATAGAGTTCTTAAACTAAAATAAGAAAAAATTAATTGTTACATTGTATGCTTTCTTCGATACCATTCAAAATTTACTTGAATCATATTTCTATAGAACAAACGATCTACAAATAATTTAAATAAGCAAAGTTCTGGTACACTTATTGCGAGATATCTTACTCTATAAAAAATCGCCTCATTACAGGGCCACAACAGTCTACAAATAATTGAAGTAAATAAAGTATTAGCACACTTATTGCCACAAATCGCACTCCATAAAAAGTCACTTCCTCAAAGATTCACGACAGCACAGAAATGGATAGACCCTAACTTCCAAAACAGGAATCTGAAAGCCCAAACTTCGTGTTTAAATCTCTATATCAGAAACTCTCCAATTTCCATAACGACAAGCACGGCAATCGCTAGAGACAACGAAACTTCAGCGGATCACACGGGCATCGGCGCACGGCGTCAGCCGGAAAATGAAGAACCAGATCAAACAGACAGGCGTAACTTAACACTTCCCTTTGTAAAGCACTAAATCCCGTGAGCATAAACTATCTTATTAAACTTCCAAGGCTGGAGACCTATAGAGCCGCGTGGCGAAACCGGGCGGGCGCGTCTGCTTCTCGTGGCCGCGGCGAGAAGCGGTCTGGCGTCGGGCAGGAGGGGTGAGAGCGAAGAAGAGTCGCGCTAGTCAGTCGGCGGTGAGACTCCGCGTGCGACGCGTCGGTTGTTGTGGCTCTTTTCCTGTACCGAAAGGCGATCACGGGATGCGCTGATTTTTCGATCGTCGCCACGTGTCGGAAAATCGTCAGCCGATAACCGATCCCCGGGGAACGAAACGCAGTGCGCGGCCGTACGACACAGTGGAGGAGTTCTATTGTTCGAGAACGCGATATACACCCGTCCTCCGCTGCCCCGGCTGGATCAAGTGATACACGAGGTGTCCGAACGCTCCGCACCCCCATTCAAACGGTAGATTTATTGCCGCCTCCGCCGGGGAGGATGTTAGGCCTCCGCGTTACATTTTAGTCGATCGCCGCGCGGACGGAGGCAGGGGCCGATGCACGGCCGCGACAAAAATATCCACGAAAAATCTCGGCAGCGGGCCAAGCGGCCTCGGGAGATCGCCATAATTCGAGGGACGAGTTTGATAAGATAATTCGCGCGGGCTGTGGCCCCGTCTGGTAAAATACGTGATCGGATTATCGGGCAATTTCGTGTCTTCCTTTTTCCACAACCCTTTCTTTTTTAATCGCGCTCGCTTTACGACTTCATTTTTGGAAATTCGCGTGTGCCGTGCGCTTTTAGCGGCGAAGTATGTTCGCATTTTACGCGAAGTGCCTTTTTTCCACGTCACGGTGAATGTCGAGCCGATTTATGCGGCGAGAAGACGCGTCGCGGCGGAGGATAATCGTTTGGGACAGGGGTACGGAAACTAGCAAACTGTTTACGGCACGAGAAAGAAGGGAAAGAACTTAATCCCGCGTAACGTGGTCCCGCGGGAAAGAGTTTAATTCTCGAATTACAGTTGAACAACACTTTCTTTCTAGCTGAGTCGCGTAAAAATCCGCTTGTATTATTGATGTCGTGGACAATTATGCACGTGGCGCAGGTTTCCCATGTCCCGATGTTACGGTGATATTCGTGGCGCATATTTAAAGTTGGCCGTGGTCGAGGTGGACTTTCGAAATTGGTGAAATGAGAGAAAAGGAAAATATCGCAGAAAGCGGACGATTTTTGCAAAACGGCCGTGGTCATGCATATTCAGTCTGTCAAAGAAAAAACAGGCGAATGAAAAGTTCACGCGCGAGCTTCCACGATGACCAATGATTCTTCTTTTCCCACGTGCACGCCGCCGGTTAGAGGGCCATTTTTATTTCGCTCCCAGCCAGCGGAAGATTAACAGTTAGGGTAAACAATTCGTGCGGAATGAAATAAAAGAGCCGTGCCGGCTTGCTAATTAGCGTGAAAAACGCGGCCTGTCCGCGCGACGTGAGATAAAGGTGCACCTTAAAGCGGAGCGTGCTGAATATTCCGCGAGATCATCGCTCGGCATCGCTGGCAGTAATTGCGAATCGTGGAGAGTAGTCGCGAGAAGCGCGGAGGAGTGCCCACTCGATAAAATATCGAGTGTTTAGTCTCTGCTCGACGGCAGCCGGTAGTTCGACAAAATTGTAATTACAAAAGCCCTCAAGATTTACGTGCCCCGAGAAAAATACGGACACCTAAACCTGTCGAATCGATTAACGAGGCTAATCGCGTTGAAGGAACTTTTCGGCTACCTGAAAGTCACGGCGAAGTAACTCCTCCGAAGAAAATGTCTGTTGGTTTTCGAATTCGGCAATGCTTCCATACGTTCCCTTAGAATATTTACTACAATTTTAATTATCCTTCATTGGTCGTGTTTAGCTTTCACTTTCGCTTTCAGTACTGCATATTTCTTAGCATTTAACGCCTTGCCTTACAATAACGTGTCAAACACGAGGTGCAGATCTGAAACACAATCGAACAAACATGAATATTACTCAATTCTTTTGAATTCGAATTAAATATTATTCTTCTGTTACCAATTATTGTACGTTGGAGCAAAGATTGATGTGGAACATGTTTATAATTCTGTTCTTTTTTTTAATAAATTCTTAATAACAATATCACCAAACTCAGAAAAATATTTAATAATCGAACAAATACAGCTTCAACTCTTCGAACAATTCTACGAAACCTCCAGTACCAACCGGCACGGATTTCCACTGAGTTCCCGTTCCGCCTACCATCTCCATCAAATTATCCTTCCCATTGTTACTCTTTCTCTTCCCTGTGGAAGCGAGACCAAAAAATATTTACCGCGGAAAACGGGGGCACCGAGTTTCGAGTTCGAAAATCGACGCCACCCGACAATACCGTCCGCCAAATCAAATTGGTGTCGAGGGGTCCACGGAGGTGTAACATCCCCGGCGGGCAAATCCTCGCGATCAGGCGTGCGGGCGCTTGTCGCCGGCAATTTGCACGTCGAGCCCGCCAATGATATTTCAGTTGACCGCGTCGGATCATGCGTCGGACGGGATACCGGCGCGAGTAGAGCGGCGGCCGGGCGGCGCTCGCTCGCGCGCGCGTGTGCCGGAAGCGTTGTGTGTTTTTGCATCGGCGAGTGCGGGCTGAGAGATCGTCGCGGACCACGGCGCCACGCCGGCCCGATTCGTGTCCACGCGCGACGAATAGGTGCGTGACCAGTGTGGGATCGATTCTCATTTGTGGTTGTGTGTGCGGTGGCGGTGTGACAGGAGCTAGAGGGCGAGAACGGGCCGGGAGCTGAGGGGCAACGCGACCCGAGGAAGCTTCGAGGAACGTTAAATGAATGTTGTTGCAAGGGGCAGCTGTGATCGTAAGGGTAGAATCGGTGCGCGGCGTGATCGGCCGATTTCAATTCATAAATGTGCGAGTGGTGGAGCCCACAATGCTGGCTCGGCTCCCGCAACAAGTTCTGCTGCTGCTGGTACTCGGTGAGTGCAATACACACACATACACACACACACGCATACGCGCGTGTACACACATATGTACATATACATGTTCACAGTGTCTATATTCTATATTTAAGCGACGACCGAGAGTCGTGCACGGTTTCCGACACATATTTGCGGAAAATATGGTCCCAACCAGCCCCGACTGTTATGTCCGATCGTACTTTCGTTCAATTCTTTCCACTCTCGATCGGGTTCGCGAGGATCGAGATGCTACCTGTTACGCATTGGAGATAACGGAAACGAAAAAGGTTAAGGCTGTTACTTCTCGCGAAGGAGGATCTATGGTGCTGTTAGATAAATATCTGGTAGATTTTTCGGTTCGACTGGGATTTTGTGAGGATTCGTTTTGTTCGACCGTTTTCCGAGTATTTGGGTGTTATTGTTTTTGGCAGGAAGTATCGGGCTGAGTAGACAATTGGTATTATGTTTACTTTTACGGACCACAATGATGGCCGTCTGTTTATAAATATGATGTCGATTTAATACCTCATCGGTTATGCAAATTGTAGCTGTACACTTTGAGAATATTCTTCGGTGATTACCATAGTTTTCTTCTTTGTTAACAATATTAACATTGGGAAATCTACCAACACTTTATCACGTAATTTTATCGTGTTTTTCATTTACAAATGAACATTACATTGTTTTATATTCTGTAAAGGACTGCCCTCTATATTTCTGTACATTTTAAATTTTGTTTAAAGTACATAGTGCATGTAATTCATAGAAACAAAATGTTTCAGATAAATTGGATTACAGGAATACGATTCTCAAATTCCAATAAACAATACATTCTCTTCCCTTTTTCCGATCATGAAAACGTAACTCCGAAACGGAAAACATTGCGCACAAATCAATACCTATATCTTCCCGTACGGCCTACGAATTTCATGCAGAAAAAATATTTTAAATCTGTCGAATCCCACCAAGGAGAATGGATAAACACCGTGTTCGATATAATCTGGAGTGGATGGCTCGTCCGCGGCAGGGACAGAGGGATTTTCGAGATTCTAATTGACCATACAGATCGACAATGCAGAGTAATCGAAGTTTCTATCAGGAAGTTTGTCAAATCGAGTTAATTGTCAGACCTGTCGACGGAACTTCCGTCGATCGGGGTCTCTGTCATTGCACCCCTGATTTCTGTCAATTCGGCTGCCGCGATCGATTTCGCCTGCCCCGGGCCAGTTAACAAAAATCATGCTGCCAATCAATTCATTCGCGAATCGGGTCGCGTGTCAATCTGGGCAAGCATAATCGAGGCGTTTCACGCGATCAATTACATTGTTCCTTGTCAGGGAGGCTCGATTGCGCACTTTATAGCGGGGAAGGGGATAGAAGAAGGGTTTGGGCGGCTGGGACTGGGACAATTTGCATTGTTCTCGGCGAGGTAAAGTGTAAACTAGCGGGAGCTTTTAATGACGTGGATTCCCGTGCCCGCGGGACAATGGGGAATCCGTCTTGCTTTTAAAGCAAACGATGGAGAATCGCTCAAGTTCCACGGTTTAACTTTGACAAACGGTTGAGAGTGTCTTTAATGCCCCCGCCGTGATTCGGAGACTCGGCTTGCGACGGAATTACCCTGCCGCACCGAGGATGCGGCTTTATCTTCTGTAGGCTAGGAAAAATTTTCCCCGCGAATCGACTGCGGGGCAACATCAACGGTTAATGTGAGATAATCCGCCTCCTAAGGTCGGGCATTAGGCCGAGGAGTGGAGTTTAATTAAGCAGGATTATTCAAATAGGACCGAGTAAGGTTTCATTAAAGGAGATCGCGAGAGGGTACGAACGGCGGCTACCAACGCGAGGTCAAGAGCACGCATCGAGAGGGAGCGATATGGTTATGGGTCGATGAATATTTTTTTAATATTGTCACCGGTTTCGGAGGATGGTAGAAAAATGATAGAATGGGGTTCTTCAAAAAGTAATTCAGTTTCGACGAAACTGTAGGTATTAATTGAATGACAAATGGAACGGGGAACGTAAACTTTATAATTACATCATAAATTTTGCTCTCTTAAGGGGTTGAGGTATTTAGATAGTTGAGGTAGTTAGATTGTTGAAGAATGAAGGTTTCTTCTGAAATTGTTTCTGAGAAAATTAAATAAAGTGTTTGTTCCTTACGTTAGTACGTATTGTTAAGAAGAGTTTCTTTCCCATTCCCGAAAAATAGAAAAAAGAGGAAATGGAAGATATAAGTCTTAAGTTTGATATTGAACTTAAAGAAAGAAGATTGGAAGAATATCACGAAAGTGGAAAGAAGAAGTAGAAGCGATTTCGTAAACGAAACTTTTCGTCGAAGGAGCAGATTATAGAAAAAGGAACTATTACATTATGTTCCGCAATTACATAGACTTTCACGAACATCAATTTAAAGTACACTTACAAAAAAGTGTCCAAGATTGAATTCCTTATTTTTCTCTATATTTATAAAGCCAGTAATATATAAATTCTTATAAACGAGAAACCGTATTACAGGCATATTTCGTATTTTCATAATTCACCGCATAAAAATCTCAATTTGAATCCAAACATCCGCCAACGCAGTATTCAGTAATACCGCTTCAATTTCCAAAAGAATCGAAACCAATAGAAGCCAGCGGCTGCGTATTAGAGGGCAGATGACTCGAGCCAAAAAATGCGATATCGTTCAGCGGCGGCTTCCAAGGAATCTTCATTTCCGTTTAGATGAACTCTATCTTTCTAAGCTGCATCAAAGCGTCAAGAAGTCGATTCGGTGGAGGCGAATCTCTTTCCGCCCTTCGCAGAATATTCAAAGATCGTCGCGACCTCTTTCGTCGTCGTTTCGATCGGCTTTTTATCACAGAAACGATGCGCCGCTGTGTCGTCGATGGCTGCAATTCATCTTCGCGCAAACCCGCGGCCTAGGCGCAATTCGCGGAATAATCCGCGAGTCATGGCCCTAAAGTCGTCTAGCCTCTTGGTTATCGTCTATTTTCGATCATTTGCTATGCACATGCGGACTTAGAGGGTAAATTACGTAAGTGCTACGTGTTTCGTAAAATTTGATGGTTTCGACCAGCAGCGTTTCGTCCTATACAGGTAATGTATTTAATCCTTTCGTCGCGAATGGTACTGTAGGTACCACGAACATTTTAAATTACCGGAAAGCTAGGAAACGCATTCACATGTTAAGTGTCATGTCAGTCACTGATGATCGACGCTTCTAAATTACTTGAAAACATTTGTAATACGCAAAATAACCGATGTCGAATGAGAAGATGTTTAATAACGTAACTAAGTTAATAATACTGTAATGCAAGGATTGTAACACCAAACAATTAATAATTCTTCTTGCTTTTCTTTGCTATAAAAGACGTTCAAGATTTTCGTGGCACTTACCGCGTTAAAGATAAGGGAAAATTATACCACATGGGAATCTTTGTTTATGACTGACAGTTTAAATGCTAATAATAAGTATTGTTAGTGCTTATCTTATTTCTTTCACTGAGAAGTTTTAATTTCACTTGAAAGCAGCTGTTCTTTGCCCTCTTTTGAGTTAGGAGAAAAATATATATTGAGAGACGAAAGGATTAATAAAGCTGCTAGTAGGGCTGCCGACATATTTTCTAAAACCACCTGCGATAACAGTTTTTGACGTGTTAACGACTGGAGTATTTTGATTACCTGATCATTTGGCGACCACTTGACCTGAGGTATCGAGAGTTGCCTGCAATAAAACGACTAAAGAATGTCCCGTTCAGGAGTTCTTACGTCTTAATAGCATTCTTTGTGGAGTTGGTAAGTATCATCGCAGCTGCAATGGTTTTCGCCTAGTCTGGTGGGAACAATGGCAAATGCGCGAGCAAAGGGACCGCGGAAAACGGCTTTCCAGACAGCAGTGAACTTGTCCACCATCGCCATAGAGCGAGCCCACTTATTTGCATACCACCTAATTTGCCTGCGACCGTTCCTGTTCCGCGAAAACTCCACTTCACCGCAGCGGCGCGGGCGGTCCCGCAAACTGGAAACGGGATTCCGGCCGGCTTTGCGAGAGCGAAACTACTTCGGTCCGAATCTCGGTTACCACCGAGCGTATTGTCGATTCCGCCGCTGATTGATAAAGGCCCCGCGCAACTGTGCCAATCGGACTTGATTCATTAACGAGTCACGAATTTTTCGCAACGACGCTATCACGTTTGATTGATTATCGCGCTCGTGGATACCGCAGCGCGGACGGCGGAACCGTAAATTTCCCTGGGAATTGGCAATCGCGAGAAGCTACCATTTCCATATTGAGATTCTTCGAGCGGGGCCTATACGGTAAATGGGATGCACCGTTTGAGTTTGGTTTGATAAACGGAATAGAACAGAAACTATTACCCGTAAGAATGCGTGGGGGAAATTTGAATTAACTTACGTCGTAATTCTTTTAAATCCTAAGTTTGTGTTTAGGAAGAAATTAATTTAAACTTTGAAAAATACGAAGATAATTGATAAGTTGTTCTCAGTTACTTTCTAGCATAAATAAAATGTTAATTGTCTTTATTGCAACGTTCATATTTTATGGTTTCGTCGTTTGATTTGAAGAATTGCTGCAGAATTTATACATTCTTTCGAAACAATTACTAGATGTTTAAATAGTTGTTAACTACTAACAGACGGTTGCTATGGGTTCCAACAATTTAAAAAATGCCACAATACTTTATTATCTCCTTATGTAAATACTGTGGCATCTTGTATTAGCTACTATTTAATTCAATGAATCGCAAAGATCGAGATAAATGTTCACGAATAAAAACGGGAATAGATACAATTTTCCACGCAATATAAACTCGCGGGTAGTGATCGGGAAAGAATTATTGTTTCTTGTACTTCGTTCCATTTAGTACCATAACAAGATTACCGCTTCCACTCGTCGCAGTGGAAAATCGATCGGCCATTATGGATTCAGTAATCATTCGATGCGGACGGAATATTCGCTTCGATCTTTGCCCGCGTAAAAATGAACTTTG